GCCAACACAAAAAATATACACTTATACAACAAGTCCTCCAGGTCCTCAAAAATCTGCTACTCCCCCTGCTTGTAATACCACACAGTCCTCTGTGCAAACTTCAAGAGCACCCTACAAATAATCTCTTGTTAGGTAGCACACTACATTTACAAATTTAATCACGCTAGTGAGATTAACTGAAAAAGTCAAGCCTAGTCTTAAAAAATGTGTGATTAAGTCTTCAAAAATCACCTGGAGGTTCTGCACTTCATATATAGTCAAAACATGTGCACTTTATATATTCCGAACTTAGTAACCTTGCAGCCCAAATCTGCCATTAGTTCCTAATTAGGCTGTCAGATAATTAGTCTGTGAGATGCAGCCCAAATCTACCATTAGTTCCTCACAACTAGGTACATGTCCACTCGAGTTTAGAAACTGCAAGCAATCAAGCACAAGGCTTATGTCTGCACTTAGTTGGTCCGATAGAAGTCCTCACATTATTAAGGACTGTTTTCCCAAATGGGGAAGACGATAATTGTTATGCCCCCTTATCTTCATTATCTCAATCATACAAGCTTGCAAACTGATGAACACATTGTTAAGTGTGTTGGCTGATAGCATATCATATGCTCTTTCTACGGCATTCACCAATTCATCTACTGTTTTTGTTGGTGATTCTGTTTGTAATGACTGAATAGCTCTAAAAAAACCTAAATCCAACACATTAAGATCAGGTGAATTAGGAGACTGACATGTTAGTTCAATGTTAAATCCATCCGAAGTAGCAGCAGCTTTAAAATCAACATCATCACCACTTATATGTGGTCTTGCGTTGTCTTGCTCTATAATGACATGCTTGTCTGCATTTTCTTGAGTAAAATTGAAGTACTCACATGTTTACTGATAATGAAATGTGAATTGTAAAATTGAAGTCTGCGTATTACTCCGTACTTGAGATGTCATGTCTTCCAATTTGCTCCCCCACTTGTCTGACAACACTCCATGTTTACTTTTACTTAATTTTTCTCTTACCTCTTTTTTTATCCCAAATTACTTTATTTAACAACTTACCTAAATAATCGTGCCATTTTGGCACGGGAACCTCCTACCGGGACAGAGGGAGTATAAGTTTGTTAGGCCTAAGAAGAAATGTTTTATACGAGGAAAACTGTTAAATAGGTCTTCGAACTTTCATAAAAAAGTCAAAAATTTCATTAAAAAATTCCACCGGAAACTGCTCCAAATCGCGACGACCGGACAGAACCTTCTATAGAAGGACTTAATTGACGTTTTTATGAAAGTTCGAGGAGCTATTTGACAATTTTCTCCTTTTATATATTGTAAAATCAATTAAATTCATTCGGGGCAAATCATCACGGCCTGTATTATGACTGTATGATGATACTATGCCGTGTTTATTCCAAGAAAATGCAAACTATACTTCTTCATAGGATGAATTATTATAATTATAACAAAACCATAAAGGAAACAATTTTTATATACTTAAAATATTAAATAAAGAAATTGGATTTCAAAAGATAAAATAAAAATTCTGATCAAAATTTCAATTACTTAGTGCATCACCTATTCCGATTATATAGAATATAGATAACCAATTTTTAATACATATAATAGTTTGACATTGTTTCCAATTTTAGTTGATCGATCTCAATGACTGACGCACTTGTAATACACAACTATGGTACAAACCTTTTTCACTTTTAAAATGGGATTCAAGAAAACTAATTAGTGACGAGCAGTGAGTATATAAACAATAGAAAAGGGAACGTTCAGATGGTGTGGATGTTACATAAAAAAAATGTTAAATAAACATTTTATTGTAACAATTCTCGATGTGTAAATCTCGCAAACCATTGTCAATATGTAAATCCTAAAATGGCGCCTGATTGCAGGTTGAACTGAGTGGCAAAGTTATTCGATGTTTTTACTTGGGCAGTAATTTGCTAGTCTGGTCTGATCTGATCTGTTTAAGTTTGGTCTGGTTTGATTTGAACTGATCTGGTCTGGTAAAGTCTGGTCTCTGTATATTTTTTAACTATGAAGTCTGATCTGTTTAAATCTAGTTTTGTCTGGTTTGATCTGGGACTGAAAACAGTCAAGTAAAAGCATCCTTATGTGTGCTTTAATGCTGACTAGACTATAAGGTTCCATTTCACACTTTCACCTATTGTCTTTAATGAGCTATGTTACATGAGTGGTGTTCCTGCCAGTACGGCTTCACAGGAACCGTCGTGCGATCAAACTCGTTTAAGAGTATTCCGGATCAAAAGAGGACCGACCATAAATAGTCATCACATTGGATGAAAATCTCACGCCGCTATTGTCACAAATTGAATCTGAGACTTCAATTCAACTAGACTTGGACTCGGGCCGGGTGGCCTGACCCGGAACTGGCCCAGGACCGGTACTGTTCCGGACCGGCCCGAACCGGTGGCCCGGTCAGTGACCGGTCCGGGTAGGCCCGACCCGATGGGTTTCCGGTCCGGGCTCGGGTAACCCAAAACAAGGCCGAGCCCGGCCGAGCCCGGTTCGGGCCAAATTGATTTTTTTTTATTTTTTTCATTTGTTTGGCTCCACCCGGGTTGGGCTTGATGTTTAGGAGGGGTTTTGGGGGTAAGGGGGGTGGGGGGTCAGGGATGGGTAGGTAAGCAAAAAAAAAATTAACCAAACCCGAGGCCCGACCCAGACCCGGACCGGACCCAGTGGCTACCCGGGCCGATCCTGGGTCCAGCTATTCAGAACCACCGGCCCGGCCCAGGCCCGACCCGGCCCGAGTCCAAGTCTAAATTCAACTATCTCACTCGTTACCTTGAGCTACCTGGGCGAGTGCAACATGCCAAACTAGTTTCTCCTAATCAATTGAGTTTTTTCATTCTTATGACACACCAACTATAGAGTTTAGCACTTTAAATCGTCTCACACTGATGCATATAAAAGTACAAAACAATATAACTTCTCTGTCCCCGATAACTTTGCTGTATTTTCTTTTTGGTTATTTTAAAAACTTTATCACTTCCCCTTTTAATCAATTAACCTGTGGTTCCTATTATTTCTCTTTCCTCTGCACAAATCTCAACTATACAGTTCTTACTCTATTATTCTTCATGTCAATCAAATTTGACAGAGTTTTGATGGACTGAGGGAGTATAATGCTAGGACTTGATATATTGTGTATAGCACGGGGTATACTGTGTATACATTAAGATCTCCTCTAAGGCTCTAACTACGGCTAAGCATAATCAGGCCCAAACTAGAAAATCAGACCAAACTAGACCGGGTCAATCTAGACCAGACCAGGACCAGTTACATATCGGTCCAGTCTTTGGTTCAAGGTTTTTTGTGATTCTGATTTCAGTCAGGTCCAGTCCAAAACTAGGAATATTTCAGTTCCCACTGGTTGGGCTGGAATTTAAATATTATATATGCACATATATTTATATATGCATTAAAATAATATACACATGTTAAGTGATAAAATGCTTTAGTCATCAGCTATTTTTCATTGCATTTGAAAAGCTGATGTTTTGTTATAGACAACAGCAGCTACTACAAACAAGCATGAATATTCAATCCATGCACATCACTAGAAAATGTTACAAACAAGTTAAGCTTTTATTAATAGCCCCCACCAAACAACATACCAAGTTGAAACTGAACATCAATCAGCACCTCTAGGCATTGGCTGTCAACAACTCTTTGCCCAACACAAGCGCTGTCTGTCTCTTTTCAACATGAAACCTTTGCCTTCATTTTCTCTTCACCACACACTCATCTCCAATCTCACTCCAACATCATATCTAGTACTTTTTTGGTCAGGAAAAATCATTTTAGAAGTAATATTTCATAAGAAACATTAAAAATGCGTTTGGTAGCTTAGAAAACAAAGGAAAGGCAATTTTTATAGTAGATGAGAAGAGAAAAGATGGGAAATATGTGACATAAAACACAGGAGCTGTATAGGTGAATTTATATAAAGTTGAAAATTGGAGAATTTTATTCCTTCCAACCTACTTGAATTATTAAGGTATTATAAAGTTAATGGCATTATTTATCCTTGGGTATGGCAAGTGTGGCTGGGCAGGTTGGACCATCTCTAATTGAAGAAAAATCAAACCAGGGAACTACTACTTAACAATACAACAAATTTTATGTCAACATAGATAATTTTATGTCAACATAAGATAATTTTATGTCAACAAATTATCTTAAAAAGCTAATTAAGACTTATATGTCTAAACTAAAATTACCTGGTGTAATAGAGTTATGAGTATGTCTTCGAGAAAATATTTCCATTATCGTCCGATATAACCAAGAAACATATATTATTTTTATCATAAACGCGGTTAACAACATACTTCATCCGTCCTGCTAAAATTGTTCCGTCTTTCATTTTCGATCTGTTCCATTAAGATTGTCTCATATACAATTTGATAAAATTTGTGTGGTTTTAAATCAATCATACTTTATGTTTACTTTAGGTTACTTTCAATATTGTTTTTCAATATTATATTGTTTAATCTTGATTTAAAGTATCTTGATTTTTATTGTTTAACTTAAGACGTAAAGTATCTTGTTTTTTCAATATTGTTTAATCTTATTACTTTCATACACTTTTGTGAATGAAATATTATAAATATTAGCATTAAAATAAGTAAATAATATAAAAACAAAGACTGATTTTTCAGTCTCTATATCCATAACTTTATCTAATACTCCGTACGTATTAATTGTTAAAATTTGGAGTTTCATTCTGTCAACTTGATAAGTGGAGAAATTTCATATTTTATATGGTACTCCCTGCTACATAAGTTATTGAATTGTGATGATTCGTCATAGTTATCATTATTTTTTCATGATCATCATCTTTTTTTATAGAGACTCACATCATGAGTATACATCGATTTGATTTTGATATCTTATCAATATTTGATATTTCACTTTTTTTTATTATCAAATCCAACTAATATATTAAATCAAAATAACATTCGTCACATGGCTGATAATACAATCAAGGAAAAAGGAGTAAACAAAACGATAAAAAGCTTTATGTCTGCCGTCCGACCTTGAACCAGACAGAGAATCTATCACCTCTGTACAAGCAATAACATTCGCTGATCCTGTAATGGGCATAACTGAGCCAATGACTGGCAAACCGGACTTCTCATCACCTAATCTAAATTTAAGAATTTCTCTACTAGGAAAAAAGAACACGTCAAAAACAACATGCAATTCGACAGAAAAACACAAACTGAATAAAATGCAATTAAAATAGAGTTCACCCATCTTCTTCCAAACCCTAGATTTGCTTGCACTCCATGGTGGTGGCTCAGGAGGGGGACGCGCCCGCCGCTCATCCGCCACACTCTCAACATCAGCTTCATCTAGATCCAATTCTTCTTCTTCTGCCCCAATCGTCACCTTCTTGTACAGTCCTCTGCAATTCCACGATAAGATGCTCATTGACTCTTCCATACCAAAATCCTCCATGTGATCTCCTCCTCCTAGAGATGACAATTGTGACCGAACCGATGGATACCCGCACCGAACTGCCCCGGTCAAAACGGGGAAAACCGCATTGACCGGGTAACGGGTATGGGGTGGGCAATACCCGTTTTGTTTTTACGGGTAATGGGGCGATTACGGTTTTATACATGCCCGCCCCATTACCCGCCCCATACCCGCCCCGTTTATTTGTAGTTATATTTTTATCTATTATTTGTCTCACAACTATTAAAAGATGAGATTTTTTTCTTACCATTGTGTATATATAGATAATAGATGTACTATTAATAGTCTTGTTTGATTATTATCAGATTTTCTTACCATTGTGTATTATTTTTTCGTCATTCTTCACACCTTTTAAAATATAATTTTTTATATCAAAATTTAATGACTCAATTAATAAAGCGGTTACCCGCGGTTACCCGAAGTTTTACCCGTTACCCGTTGGAGCGTTATGGTTTGGGTAAAAAAATACCCGTTGGGTAATGGGACGGTTACGAGGCGGGGAAATTACCCAACGGGGCGGTTACGGTTATATGTAAAACCGTCCCCGATCCGCACCGTTGCCATCCCTACCTCCTGCAGCTAATCACAAAGACCGTCTCGCCTTCTCAGCGCCGTACTCGCCTGAGCAAAGCACCGCCGAACAAAAAGCTAGGCATCGCTCGAGTCGGCAACCCTAGAAGCTCTTCCTATTTGATATTTCACTTCAAAAGTCCAACTTGATTGGAGGGGCATGTGATATATACACCTCCGTCCCGAAAATGTTTGTGATATTGACTTTTCTAAGTCAATGATGACAAACTTTGGACAATGATTTTGATTTTTATATTTATGTATGACTTATAAATTTTATATTTTTATGAAAATGTTTTGCATAAGGAACATTTTGATATAAATTTTATATTCAAAATAATTTTATATTAAAAAATATCATTGGTCAAAGTTGATTGTCATTGATCAAGAAAAGTCAATTTGATGAATCTTTTCGAGACGGAAGAGTATACATATTCTAGTTTAATTAATTCATATTTTATCGATAGGGCAAAATACTTCTAACATCATTTTTTTTCTTTAATGAATAATTAAGGTATGTTGAAAAAATTCATACAAATTTTCATATTTTCTTCCAATTGAGTCTCATGCTATGGCCGGTAGTTGGGCACTAAACCCGCACGGGTAGCTCAGTTGGTTCAATGGTGGGAAATTTGGACCAAGTGACCAAGGTTCGAAACCCGCAACGGTCGTGTGGAGGTCACAGACCTGAAATAAGGCTGTACCTCTGCTGCGCACGGGAAAAAGGTCTACCATCATTGGGCTGACTGAGTCACCGTGATTAACATCCTCCCAAAAATTCTGTCGGATCGAGGTATGGGAGGCTCCTGAAGTGGGAGATTCCACCTTTTTTGGACCAAGGTAGTTGGGCACTAATAGTTGAATGGATAGCTCCGAAAAGACCAACTTGCCTTTCCCTTTGTGTTTTCTCATACTCCGTAGAAAAAGTGAAAATGATTGGGCAGATAGAGAGATGAAGGGATTGGTCGGCAGTGGTGTGGTGGTGCCCACCACCCATTTGTGCGCCGTTAAGGTTCAGCCGCCGTCTGGTCTGGTCTTCCCCAATCATGCGCCAGAGCTTCAATCCCAACGGTCAACTAAACTACTTAATTTCACGGTTGATGTTTAGAATCCAAATTGTTAAATTTGGACTTCATCCATATGAAAACAGTGTTTCGACTTTGTCAATACTGTTTTTTCCTGTATCCTTGCACATCAATAAAATACACTAAACATATTTTTTTACATATCAATTTAGTAAAACATTAATTAATTTTTATAAGTAATGTTTTCCGTTTAATATTTTCCCTAAATAATTGTGAAATAAAAAATACACATTTCGATGTAAAAATAAATAAATTTCATTAGTTTTTTTTTTATGTTTTCGGTTAACAAAAATGAACTTAGTTCAAGTAAAGTTCGATTATGAAATATTCAGTTATTTGTAAAAAGTAAAAAATGTAAGGATCGTTAAGTATTTTTAAAAGGAAAACTTGCCAAAAATATGTCCAAACAATAATAATACGGAGTGAGTGTAATCTAAATAAATTACAACAAACTAGATAATTAAATGGTTGCGCCGTAATTGTGGAGTTAAAAAACATAAAGATTGAAAAATCAACACAAAAATTATCTGTTATAGAATAAAACCTTACTTCAGTTGTTATATGTATGTGTGTGTGTATAATGTGTGTGTAATGTGTGTGTGTATTTGTTTCTTAAGAACAATTTTAGTCTTAAAACCCAACACATCAACTTGCATGTAATGGCTAATTATTACTACTTCCATCCCAAAAGACTTTGACACTTCATACAATTTGAATCATGATTTTGACAAAGTTTTGAAAATGACAAAGTTTTTCAGGACGGGGATAGTATTTTTTCGTAATAGTTTATTTTATTTTAATGGCCCATTCATATCAACTTTAGATTCCATTTATTAATCGAATTAAGTATAGTACTATAGTAGCTACTTTTTGTGTGACATGCGTTGTGATTCTGTGAGTTAATACACAAATGTCTTAAGCCTGTTGCAGCTTTTAATTCCTGCAAACGTCCGTCCACTCTACTACCTTCCATGGATGAATGGAGTCAACAGATCGAGGTTGGAAGATCTGTCTCCAATGTGAGCATGAGTTCTAGTATATATCAAATATATAAATTTTGGTGGTGAATAGATCAAAATTCAGAATTTGGTGAAATTCTATCTGAAACTGCTGAATAGGATGGAATTGTTGAGTAATAAATAAATTACATTTAAAACATATTTTATTATTAAAACAAAGAAACTATTATATCAAATTGAGCAATTTCAATAACTAAATGTGTGTGTATTTGTTTCTTAAGAGTAATTATAATCTTAAAGCCAACACGTCAACTTGCATGTAATGGCTGATTATTACTACTTCCGTCCCAAAAAATTTTGCCACTTCATAAAATTTGAATCATGATTTTGACAATATTTTGAAAATGACAAAATATTTTGGGACGGGGTAGTATTTTTTGGAACAGTTTATTTAGTTGTAATGGCCAATTCATATCAACTTTATATTCTTTCTCAATATCTTATTATATGAATTAAGTATAGTACTATAGCAGCTACTTTTTGTGTGACACGCGTTGTGATTCTGTGAACACAATTTAATCAACACAATTTAAAAACAAATGGATGTTGATAATGAAGTATTAGGGCAATTAAACTCACAGACAAAATGCTGCTAATTAATCTTGCTATGAATGCTATATCATGAACTATACTATAAAAATGAATATAATTACAATAACTAAAAATTATTAATATAGTCATTACAGATAAAAGTTTCATTTTTTTATATTATCTTTATTTTAGTATTCCATTATACATATATTATATATATGTCATCATTTCTGTTTTTTTCTAAATGTTTTCTTTAATTTCTTTCTTTCATAATCAACATCCATTTGTTTATTTCATAAAGTTCATCCATGCGTATTCTTCTAGTAATTTTCGAATTAAAATTGGAAGTCAACATAATTTTACAATTCAGTAATAATTTTACTATTTGTTATTTCTAATAAATTAATCGAAGTCAACAATTTTTAATAACTACAGGTATAAATATTTACTACGTAAAATATAGGGAGGTAACAGCACAAAATGACAAGATATAGTACCTGCATAAATGTACTAAGTAGTTCCCATTCGGGTGGGCCAGCTGCTGAAGTTCAGGCGACCCATCCCACGGCCCGGATTCAATCGTGCCCCGCAAACCGCGTCTCCCACACACCATAACGTTCGCAACTATATATATCCTCAAGGTCCATGTGAAAGCTCCCATAATTCATGTCCGACCCGTTAAGTAAATTCTCTCCAGAAAACCTCACTTCATTTACCAGTCGAAAATGGCGATATCCGCGGCAACTGTCGTAAAAACTCTGCTAATCTTTGCTGGTACGGTGTATATTCTCATGGCAATGAGGTCCTTTCTGCCACTGCTCTTTGATCTCCCAACGATTTTGGCCTGGCTCAAGCCTCCGTACATTTACTTCATCATCAACGGAATCATCCTCTCCCTTGTGTTCTCCTCTCGTTTCCAGCACGATCGCCATGAGAAGCAACTCTCCGGCGGATTACCTAAGTTGTTCACGGCCACCACGCCTCCGCCAGCTGATTTGGCATCCTTTGCTCATCCGGAGGTGAAATCCGTTGTCGACGAATCGTTTTTGGCGGCGTTTGGCGGCCAATTGGAGGTGCCGGAGCTGAAGCCGGCTGCGGTGGTTGACGGTGCTATGGTGTGTTTGAATGACGAAAAGTTAGCCGACGATGGAGCCATTATTGAGAATGATGAGGCGGTGGAGGACGAAGAAGCTACCTTTACTAATTCCGCCATGGATCCGCCGACGGAATCTGGAACCGAGATGTTTCTGTCGGCGGCGGCGGAAAAGCCCCTTGTGTCTTCACGCTTTGCTCACCGCGGTAAACAGTCAGTGAGATCCACCCCGGAAGGTATATTCAAAAATTCTTACTCATGTCTCATTTTTTCAAATAAACTTTAAAGTCGATCCGATTTAATTTCTCGCAATTCGCCGTGAACAATGATGTCATTACGAAATCGCGCAGAAAAAGTCTCATATATCAAAATATTTTTCTAGTATATTGATTCAGTGAGTAACTAATTAATTTCGAAGTTTGTTACGACGTTTGTGTTGATTCTGTTGAAGGTGGGAGAGGTTTGAGGGTGGCGAGGCAGAAGAAGCAGCTGGAGACGCTGGAGAGCACGTGGAAGACGATAACGGAAGGGCGTCATGCGCCGCTGACGAGGCGCCTAAAAAAATCTGATCCCCTTGAGAACCACCAGAACTTGAGCCGCGGAGACGCCGCCATCGCAGCAGACGGTGACGCTTCTGGTAAGCGGCCGGTGTCGCGAAACCCGGGAATGATGATTCTGCGGAAAGAGCCTTCTCTGAGTCAAGACGAGTTGAACCGCCGAGTTGAAGCGTTCATCAAGAAGTTCAACGAGGAGATGAGGATACAAAGGCAGGAGTCGTTACAGCAGTACAAGGAGATGATTAACCGTGGGGCCAACTAGGTGTCATTTCTTTTGCTTTTCCATTTTTGGCCTTCTTTCCTTTTATCTTTAAAAAAAATCTTTTAGAAAATGCTTAGCCAAAAATTAACTCTTTCTTCTCAGCCCCGGCCTTTTAAAAAACAAGGGCTATTATTGATTGTATAAAAAAATCTTTATTATTTTGTACTAGTATTTTATAAGTGGAATGTTAGATTTGTGTAAGGTGGTTTGTTTTGTGAAATTGAATATATGAACATTGCTTAATTTGAAGTATGTATTATGTTTTCATTTGGCAATGTTATTTGTAATGTAGACCGAGCTATGTTATTTGTGATAATATGATTAGAACGTACAAATGGTTTTTCCCGATATACGATAGTGTTACTTAACATCGACACATTTTTCAGTGCGTATGTAGTACTGTATTAATCTACTTTACCTGTAATCAAAGAGAGAATATTAAGACTGAAACTTTATCTTAAAATGCCAATTTGAAATAGCTCAAACCCTCAAAGTTTTAATTAGATTTGTGCTTGTTTTGAGTCGTATATGATCCATTACTCCTCAAAGTTTTAATTAGATTTGTGCTTGTTTTGAGTCGTATATGATCCATTACTCGTTTGAGCTTAATTTTATCAAATGTCATATTAAATTTTGAAATGTTATCTTAAAAGTTGTATCTTATACGGAGAGTAGTCTAATATATAAAACAAAAGGAATAAAAATATAAGTCAAGTTTGAAAGTACTCCGTAATTATTACTACGTACTTATGTTTTAGTCTCAACCTTTTGAGTATTTATAAAAAAAAGAATGACACATCATCCATGAGGGCCTCTAACACCGACTGGACGGTATGTTGGAAGGATGTCAATTGGACTATAATCACAATCTGACAGATCAGATAGAGAGTGTGATTCTGTCTTCAGTAATTGCAGAGGTCCCTTTTGAGTATTTATCATATGAGGAATGCTAGAGCTACCCCATTTTGTACCTCATTTTGTACCTCACCCGGCCTATGTTTATGGCTCACAAAAATCCAACTCAATTAAATTAATTGCTCCATTTTAATGAAGTGCTTTTGTGAACCACAAACATATGGGTGCAAAATGGGGTATAAAATGAGGTAGCTTTAGCATTTGTGTTATCATACATATCTCTCTTACTCATATATATGAGGAGTATTATGGTAATCTTTAAGATGTAGCATATGAAACTATGAATGACTCCCCTCATATCTCTCAAATAATAACTATGTTATTATTGGTGCATATTTTGGAAGGATAAATCTCTATCTTCTAAATTTTGTATTATTGTCATGTTTGACATAATAATACTTAAGAGCTTTTTAAAAATAAAAGACCTTTTTGAGAAGTTTTAGTGAGTAGTGATGGAGTATATGGCCCGAGAACCCCCGGCCCACAGACTCCTACTACTCCAGCGAAGGCCCAAAAGGCCCAAAAGGCCCAAATCACAGCGCCCAGAGTACCAGGCAGTCCGCACTACGCGCCAGGGGTGCCTTCGGCCCCCTGGCCGAAGGCTCCAAATTCTCACAGAACGGGTTTCTCAAGCAAATTAAGAAACTGGGAGAAAACGGCGAAAACAGTAGCCCTCGACATTGTGAGCCCTCGGCACCAGGGTGCCATCGCGTGGAAGAGCCCTCGGCTGCTGCTCTATAGCCGAAGGCATCTCACTCGACAAGATATCCGCCTCACATGCGTACAGATCACCGTACCCCGCACAGACGTCCCATCCAACAGCCGCATTAAATGCGGCCACATGCGGCTGCCAGCGCCAACCAGTTGAGGTGACCCCTCGGCCAATAAGCGCTTGACACGTGTCCCTGCCCGGCACTTATTGCTACTATAAATAGCACCCCATTTCCCCATTTGTAACCACGCTGAAAACGGCATTCATACTGAATACACTCTCTCTCTACTTTTACTTACTTGCTCCGACTTCTCTCTAAGTTATTCCCCGTAATAACCCTTCGGATAGCTACCCCCCGGGTACACTATCCATCATTTGGTGCTCTCATTGAGAGGTTGAACAATCGAGTAAGAAACCCTCCCCCTCGACCAAACACAAAACACTAGCCCTCTATCAAAATGGTGAGGACAACACGTGCCAGCTCAAAGAACGTAGAAGACAAGAACCTGGCCCTCGGTGACGTCAACGCCCCCGAAGCCTCTCACAGGGCTCCCGAGGGCGGTGTCATCGCTGGGCTGGAACAGGCGGCTGTCGACCTACGCCTTCAGATCCAGCAATATGCCCCCGATGCCCGCCTCGGTATCGAGGCCAAGAAGAAAAACCGGAGCGATGACCAAGTCAGCCCTCCGGTTCTCACCATCGACGTGCTATCGGCGCTCTCCGCCTTCATCCAGACGCTCACCCAGAACCCGGGTGCCTTCGGCACCCTGGCTCCAGCTCACCCTCAGATCGGGGAAAATATCATACTTCCCCCTCTGCCACACCCCTTCGGAAATCCCACCCCTCGGGTGAGAAACGACGAAGGGGTGGTGGCCCAAGATACGTCCTCCCAGGAAGTTCAGTCCCGGGACCGCCATAATGACAACAGGGAAAGGCCCCGTACTTCCGCCCTCAACCGGCTCGGAGGAGGGCCAGACCGCCGAGGGGTCCAAGACCGCCTCGGGGGGAAAGCACTCCAAAGGCCCCAGGAAAGCGGGGGATCTATTTCGAGGGCAGACGAGGAGCGTCCCCCTCAGGACAAAGGCAAGGCACCCCTTCATGCCGATGATGCTCGGCACCAAATCAACCAGGCCCACTCGGCCCGGGTTCGTTCGCAGGGGGCGGAGACCCTCCCGAAGGATCCCGGGACGAGATTATTGCGGCCCTCCAACGCCGGCTTGACGAGATGGAGTCCAACAAAGCTCACGCCACCACCTCCACCCCTCATTCAGATCTCAAATACGAGGCCATGATGGCCAAAATGGAGGAGTTACAGAAGAAGGTGGTCGAGGGCTCCGGGGAACCCGTCATCCAGCTCCGGACTCGGACGCCGTTTACCCCAAGGGTATTGGCGGCCCGGATCCCGGAAAAATACCGAGGGCAACACATACAGCCCTACAACGGGAAAACGGACCCCCAGGAACACTACAGCAAATACCAGAACTGCATGATGATGGTGGGGGCGTCAGACGAATATTTGTGTCGATGGTTCCTCTCCACCTTAGAGGGACCGGCATACGAATGGTTCAACAGGCTGCCCGAGGGCTGTATTGATTCATGGCAAGAACTCGCCCAGCGGTTCTTGACACAATTCGCCGGGAGGCGTCGCACAAGGAAGCACTTCTCCCACCTCCTAACAATACGCCAGAAGAAGGATGAGACCCTTCGGGATTTCCTGGAGCGCTGGAGGACGGAGGCCGACAAGGTCGACGGTGCTGATGACGGGACCCTCCTGGCCCTCCTACAAACCGTCCTCCGCACCGGTAACTTTTCAAGGAGCCTCATCATTGAACCCCCCCGCGACTACATAAGGGCTTTGCAGCGGGGGGACCGATATGCTGAGGCCGAGGAGGTGGAGAAGTATCACCAGCATCCGGACCAGCAGCCCCCGAGGGCTGACAACAAGCATAACCGAGGGCCGGGGGCTCCTCCAAATCGCCCCAAGGCTTCGGGACCCTCTGATGACCGCCCTCGGCAAGGCCAAGCCAAGCCCGGGGCAGGTTATAAGAGCAACCCTAAGACTTGGGCCCAGCCCATTCTCCTGGACCGCCCTCGGACACCATTAACGCACCCCGTCAGCATCATCCTCGATTTTGCCGAGGAGAGGGGCCTCGTTGAGCGCGACTCTCGCGCACCCCCGGAGGTACACGCTATCAACCCTCAGTTCCCCTACTGTCGCTTCCATCGGCACCAGGGGCACAGGACCGATGACTGCCATCAGCTGAAGACGGCCATCGAGAGATTAATACAGGCGGGGCACCTGTCCCAGTTTGTCCAGAGCCCTCGGCAGGAGGGACCTTCTCATCAGGGACCTCCCCGAGGGCACCATACGAAGGTAAATGCCTGGGTAAATCCGAACACCATCCCCCTCGACAAGAAGAGGGAGATCGGAAACTTGGAAGAAGAGGAGGAGGAGTACCCCCACTACCAGGAGAAGAAACGCCACATCCTCATGATCACTGGTGGCAATACAGGGGGCGATTCCACCAGCCAACGAAAGAAGTGGGCTCAATCGCTTTACGTGGGGGAAGTCACTCATATGCCCCCGGTAAAGCGACTGAGGGAGGAACCCATCACCTTTACCAACGCAGATCTCCCTCCTACTTCTTCTCCTCACAGGGATGCCTTGGTGATTCGGACGGAGATAAACGACACCATCATTCACCGAACTTACGTTGACACGGGCAGCTCCGTCAATGTAATGTACCTCAGCACCTTCAGAGAGTTGCATCTGGAGAGGGGGTCCCTTCGGCCCATTAAGACCCCTCTTGCCGGATTCACCGGCGACACTATTGATTCCGAGGGGGTAATAACCCTCCCGGTGATCTTTGGCGACGGGCTCCATAGAGCCCAGCTCGAGGTGGAGTTCGTCGTCGTCAACATTGACTGCGCCCACAACATCATCCTCGGCCGGCCAGCCCTCGAGGACCTCGAAGCCATCATCTCCATGAGGCATCTCTGCCTCAAGTTTCCCGCCGAGGGGGGCATTAGCTACTCCCGGGGGAACCAGAAAATTGCCCGCGCCTGCTATCTTCAGGTCACTAAGAAGGTAAGCAAGACGGAATTCCGTGTTGACACCATCACCGGAACCGTCGACCAATAGGAAAGAAGGCCGAGGGATGAACCGGCCGAGGACGTAGAAGACTTTGCGCTCGATCCGGCCCAGCCGGAGAGAGTCGTGAAGATTGGAGCCCAGCTCCCTGAAGATTTGAAGACCGGTATCACCGACGCCCTCCGCGCCTACTCCACTGTCTTTGCATGGGGGCCGGAGGACATGCCGGGAATTAGCCGAAGGGTCATCACCCACCGCCTCTCGGTGGACCCCTCGGCAAAAGCGGTGCAACAACGAAGAAGACCCCTCTCTGCCGAGAGGAGGGAATTTGTGAAGAAGGAGGTCGCCATGCTCCTCTCCATTAAGCACATCAAGGAGGTGAAATATCCCTCATGGCTGGCGAATGTAGTCCTCGCACAGAAGCCCCCTACCTTCCGCATGTGCGTGGACTACACTGATCTCAACAAAGCATGCCCTATGGATCCATTCCCTCTACCAAACATTGATCAATTGGTGGATGAGACCGCAGGGTGTGAGATCATGTCCTTCCTCGATGCCTTCCGAGGGTACCATCAAATTTTCATGCACGAGGAGGACGCCGAAAAAACTGCCTTCATGACTCCCGAGGGC